CCTGAGGCGGCGGCGGTGTGGGAAGCGGAGGGAAGCCCGTTGTGCAGTGCTGTGGTTTAAAAGGGCGCTTTGAGCCGCGTCTGAAGAATAAATCGTCCTCGGTGGTAACGCTCCCAGGTGTTCAGCTGTGCGTGCGCCTGTGCGGAGCTGGCGTGCGGCCGTCCTCACGTCCATCCTCCCACCGCAGTGCCTGAATAAGAGGTTCGTTCGACAGAGGGCCTGGCAGCACAGGCAGTCAGCAGAGAAAAAGCACACAAACAGACTTTAGCAGAGAAAAAATACTCAAACAGCCTGCGAAGTGAGACTCGGGCCCTGCTAAAAATATTCCTGGTTCTCAGTCATACATATGATAACGAAAGGGAAGATCCCTGTTAGAGAAGGGTTCAGGGTAAACATCACTTACTTTACTGTGCGGAAGTGTACTGAACTTTCAGCGTTTCTGCAAAATAGATAATATCTTTTGAGCTATTTGAATTGGCAAACAGAAGCAGCAGGAACCATTTCAGGCCCTGGAAGAAGCAAAATACACGAAGGCCGTATGACACCAGGAAGGTGGGTGCGTGTGGTGGGAGGGGGAAGGAGCGTGGTTTCTGGTCCTCCAACCAAAGGCAGCTGCTCCAGTCTTCCCTTTTTCCTCCCCTGCTTCACAGTGACGTGTCCAAGCGAGTCCAGTATACTTCTCATGACAGTAAACAGCAGTTCTTCAGCTCACTTCAGTGGATAGTTGCATCAAGTCCTTTTTTCCCCCCTATATGTTCCTTCAAAGGCTGGTTGCATGCATTGAATTGAAGACACCGACTGGAGATGACCCTGTACCAAGTACGCGGGCAGTGTTTTCCTAAATACTCTATTTTATGTGTCCCTTCAGAAAACAGCAGTGGAAAAAATACTGAAATGGGAGTGCAAGACCTGTAGGTCCCGTGGATGTTTGGTTGTAAATGATACAGTAGCTTTGTTTGCTGGGTGACGTAGGATGACTCCTACACAGAGCTTATTACTCAAATGAGCGTTGAGTGGAACACCTGCTCTCAAATGTTGTTCACACTGTTGCTCTCCTTTGTCCCTTGTAGGTATGGAGAGTGCAATCACACTGTGGCAGTTCCTTTTGCAGTTGCTGCTAGACCAGAAACATGAGCACCTGATTTGCTGGACGTCTAATGATGGCGAATTCAAGCTACTCAAGGCAGAAGAAGTGGCTAAGCTGTGGGGACTCAGAAAAAACAAAACTAATATGAATTATGACAAGCTGAGCCGAGCGCTCAGATACTATTATGACAAGGTAACTTTTGTTATTCTCATGCAGAGTAAGAAAATAGAAACACTACCATTTAATATTTCACCTCTATGTGGAAGCTATTCAAAAGTTCCTCTAACTAGTTTTTACAACAGACAACAGTATTGAAGGCAGTCGCGGTGGAGGTAAGAGGGCAGCTAAAAGATGCTCAGGAAAACACTGCACATCCCATTTCCTGAGGAGGGGAGGTTTTGACCTAGGTTTACACTTCCTGAAGCTTTCATGTGTTTATGCCTTTGGCTACCCAATATTTTCTGTAGCTTTTGACAACAATAAAATAACTGCTGATAACGGAGAACTGTTTGATTATTGCAGCCTGCATAGGATCTTCTGGAATGCAGGGAGGTGGTAGAATGCAGTGATACTGCCATGCAGCAGGCAGAGTGGCGGCTTTACGAGCAGGTATCGCCTATGTCAGAACGAGGAAAAGACAAACAACCCAGCGGCATAGAGGGCGGGGGACACGTCTTCTGGACCATAGATCCTGTTGGCCAGTGCGTTAGGTGGCCTTGCCTGAGCTTTCTGATAAATCTTTTCTACAGTTGTTTTGGGTCCTAATGTATTAGCTAGAAATATAATGCTGAAACACTTCTGCAGTTATGACAGCACAGTATTACCTCAGCAGGATCTCACTGTAACTATTTCTTTGTTAATGCTCATTTAAGAGTTTGGAAATTTTCCACTATGTCATTTTAGGACAAAATCTGTGTTACCTTCAACAGTAGTCTAGATTACGGTGCTATCATTTAATTAGCAGCAATATATATGAGAGAGCACTACTGTGATATCTTAGTGAATGACAGTGCAGAAGAAGAGTAACAAACAGAGGTGAAAGCGGCTCGTCAGATGGTGGGTGTCAGAGCGGGGATATGTTTGGCTCTGTTAGTCAAGGTTGTAGTCTCATGCTGAGCTCAGCTCAGGTGAAGACTGCATTTACTGTAGAATGTTAAATTTACTCGCACTTGGGAACTTACCTTCTGGGTATCTCAAGTCAAAATAGTGGAACGTGCTTCCGCAGGGGTTTCTTCATCCAATTATTTTGCCCTTGCAAGACCCACTGAATTTTGCCCCTCCTTCACAGATGCATCTGTTGAGGTTTGATAGAACTAGTAAGACCCAGGGATTCAGCACAGTTTAGGCAGCAACCTTATAACTGGCAAGCTGTAATTATTTGCATGGTCTCAGAAGCTGGTTACAGGCAGATAGTGTAGGCATGCACTCAGTGCAGAGCTGTTGGCTGTCAAGAGCTCAGCTTTCAGCCTCTTCATTGAAAACTGAAATCTGAAATAATAATATATTGAACATAGTAACCTGGAATTGTTTAGATCACTCGATTTGCTTCTGATTTTCAGACATCAAGAGCATGCCCACAATCTAGAAGGGGTCGGTAGAGGTTACTGGTACCTAGCACCTCTGAAAATAAAATTCCTGCAGTATAGTGGGTGTTCATAAGATCACTGTTGTTCTCATGAAACCGCCCTTCACTTTGACATTTAGTCCTTGGTCCTGTTCTTCAGCATGAAGCAAGGTGGCAACAGTACAACAGAGAATGCAAAAATGAGAACAGGGAGTAACCAGGATATGTATTAGGTTACTGTAACAGAAAGATATTTGAAGGGAATCTCTTAAGATATGTCAAGATACTAGAAGGAAAAAACTGTAGAACACAAATATGAAGGTGCTAAAATATCTGGCATATTCACCTTTCTCAATTTTAGACTAGCAAATTCAAAGAGTTTCCAAATTGTTTCTCCAGCATTTTTTGGATTAACATTATATTGGTTTTACTAATCAATATTAAATCTTTTCAGGATTAGTTCCCCTTAAATGGATATTTTTTATAAGTCTAAATTAGTAGGTTTCACTATTTCATATATTCTTGAAGGTTAAATATTAAAAAGAAGGACTGTTAGAGATTTTGTAGATGAAAAAGTAAATCTTCATTGCCATACTTAGTGGTCTGTTCTCATGTTGATTTTCAGAAAGAGCAGTGAGATGAGATTATACAGTGGCTAACACCAGTGTCCAGCACAGTTACGGCAAGCTTGCTGCCTGCACAAGGCAGAGAAAACTAGATATTGTTGCTGAACTGAGCTCAGAGTACTGTTGTCATGTATTACTTGTAGTGCACTAATTCTTGAAGGGCACAGTGGGGCTGGGCGCTACGCAGCCCGTCTAACACAGCAGTCAAAAACCACGTTGACGGCAAATTTAACTGTGCACAATTTGATGGTCGAACTTTTCATTGCTCACGTTGGAATTTGGAAGTACTTTTCCTTCTCCTGTTTAATTTTTTAGTTTCAGATTTAGAGCTGTAAGTTCTGCAATTAAATGTTTTTAGCATTTTGTCCACTAGAAGTCAGATTTTTCCACTTCACGTGTTTCAAAGGTGGCCTGACTGTGAAGGCACAAAAGGATTTGCAGAGAACAGTGCAGCGGCTGTTCCAAGCAGTTGGTGTGATGAATTCCCCTTCACTAAGTGCTAAAAAAGCTTCTGCTCAGCATGGGGAAGCTCACTTCATTATATGACTCCAACCCCTCTGATTATAAACTTGACTGGTATCAGTGGAGACAAGAGTGCCTGCTGGTTAGTGAACAGCGTATCCAGGCAGAGCCCAAACACACGGTTAGAGGCTGAGCAGACATTGCTTAAAAACAAGGGACAGGATATTTGTAGCACTTGTCCTTGGAGATCTGTCTCATCTCTTCAAATCAGTGGAATGTAATGGCTCCTTATTTGAGGCTCCCTTTCTTCTTTTATCCCTTAACTGCTTTTTTTTTTCTACCCTTGTAGTGTTTTCAGTTGCCCCCCCAGCACACACGCCCCCTTTGTCATCTGTTTGGTCTCCACTCGCAGAGCATCTGCCGGAGGAGTGGCTGTACAGTTTCTTCACCAGGGCGCTGGCTGAGGTGATTGCTGTTCTTACAGCTGCTTTCTTGGACTGTGTGCTCTGTTCTGTCTGCAAATTTTATCTGGTGTGGCGCAAGGATTTTGGCTGTTTTTCCAGGAGTTCTGCAGCCCAATGGAGTTGCAGCTCCTAGGTGGAAAGAAGGATGAGCTCTTTCTTCCCCAGGTATTGTGATCAGGGTTTGAACCCCAACCCAAATCCATGGCTATTGCTATTTAAATTGACGGAGTAACTCCTTTAACAGAAGACAGTGGGAGCTTCTCATTCTCTGTGTGGGTATGGTGTGTTGTGTCCTGATGGTTCCCAGGCAGTGGAGAAAGGCAGATTATTAGCAGAGTGCAGAAGGACAGGGGAACTTGCTGCAGGTTTTGAAGTGTGAGAGGTAGTGGTGTAAGACAGCAGGTAATGAATCCTCATAGGCTGGCAGGGAGTGCTCAGCAGTGGGTTTGGCCCTAAACTCTTCCTCTGCCTTCAGTTCAGTCTATGCTGCGCAGCACAGAAAGGGAAGAAGTCAAGGAGGGAAGGAAAGGTTCCTAGGTTCCTTGGCATTCTTCTTTCCCTTCTGCAAAACAAAAGGGGAACGGCTGGTGAGGTGAAAGAGCCTCTCGCAAATTTTTGCACTCTTCTCACCTGGACCATTCATCAATTTGTGGGATAAACCAAGAGTGGTCTAGACCATGAGGTAGCCTTAAGGAGCCTTCTGAGATGCTTGTCCCCTCCCTTGTTGGCAGCGATGGATTTGTTGGCAGCTGGATGTGCTGGAGCAGATGGGATGCGCACTGGGCAAATGGGATAAACGTTGTGCTGCAGGCTAGGGAGTGGCAGCAGGAAAGGCAAGAGGCAGAACCCTGGACAAGACTTCGTTTTATCAACAGGGACTTCTCTACCTACAACCCAAATGATCTGTCAGCATGTGAGTTTGAGGCAAAAGGCAGTCATATTTTTAGACAAGGAGGTGGCACATGGGTCAGGCCTTCCTTTCTTGGGCTGCCCTCTGCTGCTGCTGCATACAGCCGACACTAACTGAGCTGCTGCTTCATGGTTTGTCTTTGAAATTATTCGCCGTGGAGAAATAAAACCTGCTCACTGGATAAATGGGGGTTTATGAGCTCTGCCATTTTGCTTGGGGGGAATACTGGCTTGTTAAAATTCATCATCTGATTCATCTGAACTTAAAAGTAAATTAATTCCAGTACTGGAGAAAAATAGCACAATTAGGACAAGTTCCTTAGCCTGGCTTTGAAAGCGAGCATGACGTGCTGTTGAGGCTGATGGCTAGATTTGTGTTAAATTCACATATAAAGCACCCCCGGAAATGTAGAGTGTGACATGTCTTGATTGTAATTTGCTACCATGATTCTGGTTGCTGAAGGTTTGTAGATAATCTGAAGACTTTCCATTTCCTGTTTCGTTTGTTACCCGAATTCCCCTCCCCCCTTCTTATTTAATGCATTTCCCCTGTTGCCTCAACAGAGCGGCAGAACAGATGACAGATAGCGCTGAGGAAAGGCATCCCGCACTATCTCTACCTACAGCTTGAGCAGCATGTCCATCGTGTCACACACTTCTGCCGGTCAGAAATCTCTTGTAATGCTTTCAAGCAAGGAAACCCTGCACATCTGTTCCCACGCAGAGCACTTTAGCTTGATGTGTAGAACTAAAATACCTTTATAAGTAGGATTAGTAGGTTTCTTTTTGTTGAAGTTGCGCAGTTACTTTGTTTCTTTGATAGCTGTAATGACAGATACCTTTTGGAAGTCTCGAGTTTTCGAGACTACTAAAGGTCCCCATGAATATTTCAGGGTGCCGCCACAAGAGGGAAGATAGTGGCTTTTCCCCATGAGGGTGTTTTTGAGGGAAGGAGGGCGAATCCAGGAAATTACGTGCAGATACTGATGTTAATAGGATGTAACAGTTGTGGAAGTCAAGCCTTCAGAAGTTAGGAAATGCAAGAACTGCAGTTCCCTGGGTAACATTAGTGTTTGCATGAGCTATGCTGCATCTTTAATTACACAGTCACATACTGTTGCGATGAGCAGCTATTTAATATTTTTACATCCTCTCTGAACAGTGTGT